GATCCACAACAGCAGCAAAATAACAGTTATGAAATAGCAACAAAAATAATTTTTTGGTTGGGGGGTCACTGCAACATTATTAAACTGTATTGAAGGGTCCCAGCGTTAGAAAGGCTGAGAACCACTGCTCTGGAGGCTTCTCATGGTATTCCTCCCCTGAACTCCCATAGCACGGTTTTGTTTCTGAGGGGTACCTCTGGCCAATATTATTATATTATTGCAATATCCCATTCTTCCACTCCTGTGTTGTCTCCGACAGGGAATAGGCCCTGCTCTGTGTCTGCTACCGCTGCTCCCAGCCCGGCCTGCAAAAGTAGGGATTCAACAGAGATTGATAAACCACGGGAAGAAGAGATGAAGGGACTCCCTCCCGCCTCTGTACTCATCCAAGTCAGTATTTTGAAGCGCTTACCTAGATCCCGAGTAAATCGAAAAACCAAACAAAACAACAAATAAACAAACAACGTGCATTCCACAACTCCAGAGAAGTAAAGTGAATCTTGGGCAAGCGCTTACAAGAAATCTAAGAAAAAGAGCATCCAAACACACCTTTAATCCCAGCACTCAGGAGGCAGAGGCAGATGGATCATTGAGTTTGAGGCTAGCCTGGTCTACAGAGTGAGTTCCAGGACAGCTAGGGCTGCACAGAGAAACCCTGTCTCGGAAAACCAGAGAGAGAGAGACAGAGACAGAGACCAAATGGATTAGGGGAGAGAACGCTGTCAGCCTACAGCTGTCGGACACCAAATACTGGAGCTAATTCATGGTCAGGGGAGTAAGGCCGGCCATGTCTTCTTGTCTTTCCCCAACTAAACCTGAGGGAGCTAAACCGGACATTCACATCAAGTCGGAAATAGATTTCTTAGCTAATACGGCCCAGCTCCCACCAGAAGAAAAAGTGAACTTTCACCGTTGAAGTCTTTCCTCAGCTGGGGCCCCCAGTTTCCCACAGACAACATAAAACCAAATATAAGTTTATATGAAATCAGTATACCTGGACCAGTAGCCAGAAGAGCTAGCACAAAGATGAATCAGATGTAGATACCCCTAGAGACTTCAGATACTAGAATCTGAAATGACTATATAAGAAGTGCTGGGGTTAGAGATTTAGCTCAGTGGTAGAGTGCTTGCCTAGCAAGCGCAAGGCCCTGGGTTCGGTCCTCAGCTCTGGAAAAAAAAAAAAAGTGCTTAAGGAAGTACACCATGAAGTCCGGCATGGTGGCGCACGCCTTTAATCCTAGTGCTTGGGAGGCAGAGGCAGGTGGATCTCTGTGAGTTCCAGGATAGCCAGAGCTACATGGTTAGATTCTGTCTCAAAAAAAAAAAAAAAAAAAAAAAAGAAAGAAAGAAAGAAAAAGAAATAGAGGGAGAGGAAAAAAGAAAAAAAGAGAGAGAAAGAAAAGGAAAAGGAAATGCACAATGGAAGAATTTTTAAAAAAAAGCACGAATCACATTGGAGTATATTTTAAAACCACCAAAGGAAGTTCTCAGAAAAATATAGCATTGAAATGAAATGCACAGTTGATGGGCTGCATGGTAGATTAGAGCTGGCTGAAAGACTTAACAGGAGATAAGAGCAGAAGTTCTCAACAGAATGGGCTAGTCTGCGTCTCCTCACGGCTTGCTTGCCTGTGCTGACTGTGTCTGGCTTTCAGGCAGCCTTCGTTCCCGAGGTGCACGAAGTGGAGGCTCCCTGTAACCCAGAGAAGTACCCTGTCTTTCCACACAAGGATGCGTGTGGGACTTAAATAGATAATGCCTTGAAGAAGGAGGCGGCAGCCTTGCAGCATGTGGTCCTAATGTGGTAGAAGTCTGCCAGTATAGGAGTTGATAGAGAAATAGCCTTGAGCATCGAATGTTCTTGGAATTAGAAATGGTGTGGCAGAGACAATCTCTCTCTCTCCTTCTCCCCCTCCCTCTCCCTCCCTTCCCCCCCCTCTCTCTTTAGTTAATTTTTCAAGATAGGGTTTCTCTGTGTAGCCCTAGCTGTCCTGGAGCTCACTCTGTAGACCAGGCTGGCCTCAAACTCACAGAGATCTGCCTGCCTCTGCCTCCCAAATGCTGGGATTAAAGGCATGCGCCACCACTGCCCGGCTGAGACAATCTCTTTAATCTTCCAATGTAAATAGTTCTCTCTCCCTCTGTCCCTCCTTCCTTCCTTTCTTCCTCTCTTCCTCCCCCTTTAGTTTTTTGTAGCCCTGTCTGTCCCAGAACTCACTATAGAGACCAGACTGGCTTTGATGCATAGAGATCCACCTACCTCTGTCTCCGTCTCTGGGATTAAAGGAGCAAGCCACCATGCCTGGCAGGATCTCGATTTTAAACGGGTCTATAACTAATCCAAAAAGGCTGCAGGTTGGGGTGGAACTCAGTGATACGGCACAGGGTTTGATTACTCTTTTCTCTCCTCCAAAAGCCAAAGTCTAAAGACCACAGTCCTCAACCTCTCCGAGCAGCTGGGTCAAGCAGCTAGGTATTGCTTGTATGACATTAAGTCATTGTTGGACTAGGGAGATGGATACAGTGCTTATTGCACAAGCATGAAGACTTAAGTTCAAATCCGCAGCACCCAGGGAAAAAGGTGGGCGTGGCTGTGAATAGCTACAATCCCAGCATGAGGAGGACAGAGAGAGAAGACTGAGATGTGCACGCCACCAGCCTAGCTCTGGGCTCAGTGAGAGATCCTGTTTCAAGAGAATAAAGCAGAGAGTGACAGCACAGGACACCTGATGTCCTCCAGACACGCATGCCCACCCGGTGCATGCGTGCACACACACTTTGCTTTTCAGATCTCCTCTGGAACTAGACATCTCCATGACCGTCACATCAGGCCATCATTAATGCTCCCTTTCCTATGACATTATTCCTAAGCCATTTTTACCCATTATCTTGCCTGTGTATAGTGTTTAACTTCATCCGGTGTCTCTCTCACCAAGCCCAGAGTTTCTGAGACGAGCATATCTGCCATCCAGATCTCAGGGACTCAGCCATAGCTTCTGCTTCCAGGGTGCTGTGGGGTGTTCTGTATGTTAAATGTGTTGCTCTGATCGGTTAATAAATACAACACTGATTGCCAGTGGCCAGGCAGGAAGTATAGGCGGGGACAAGCAGAGAGGAGAATGCTGGGAGGTGGAAGGCTGAGGCAGAGAGACGCTGCCAGCCACCATGAGAAGCGAGATGTAAGGTACCGGTAAGCCACGAGCCATGTGGTAACTTATAGATTAATAGAAATGGGTTAATTTAAGATAGAAGAACTAGATAACAAGAAGCCTGCTGTGGCCATACAGTTTGTAAGCAATATAAGTCTCTGTGTGTTTACTCAGTTGGGGACTGGCGGGTGAGAGAGATTTGTCCTGACTGTGGGCCAGGCAGGACTGGAGAAAACTTCACCAAGGCTCTGGGGAAAGGCTTGAAGATTTGCCTTTTTGTTTGTTTGTTTGTTTTTGTTTTTCAAGACAGGGTTTCTCTGTGTAGCCCTGGCCATCCTGGAACTTGCTCTATAAACTAGGCTGGCCTCGAACTCACAGAAATCATCCTGCCTCTACCTCTAGAGTGCTGGGATTAAAGGCATGCATCACCATCACCCGGTTCAAAGATTTGCCTTTCAAGTAAATTCCCCGGCGACGTTGGGTTGATGATCCAGAGACCTTACTTGGAGATCCACTGGCATTGGTGACTCTGGGACTCCTGTGTTTAGGTCACCGTGGTATCCTAGCACCTAGAACATCAATACCTGATGTGCTATAAATGCTTGTCCACTCAGTGTCTCATTCAACTAACTACCTTGAGAAAAGTACTGTTATTACCCAACCACCTATGCCTTACAGGAGGGTAAACAGTGTCAGAGAGGTTAAGCAGCTTGCCTCAGTGTACACAACTGTGGAAAGTAATATGATCAAGCCGGGCGGTGGTGGTACACGTCTTTAATCCCAGCACTTGGGAGGCAGAGGCCAGCCTGGGCTACAGAGTGAGTTCCAGGAAAGGCTCCAAAGCTACACAGAAACCCTGTCTCAAAAAACAAAACAAAATAAAACAAAACAAAAAGAAAGAAACAAAGAAAGAAAGTAATATGATCAATAGAAATGGGCTGAACCAGGGCTGGAGAGATGGCTCAGCAGTTAAGAGCACTGGCTCTTCTCTCTTCAGAGGTTCTGAGTTCAATTCCCAGCAACCACATGGTGGCTCACAACCATCTGTATGGGGTCTGATGCCCTCTTCTGTAATGCAGGCATATGTGCAGACAGAGCACTCATACATAAAAATAAATAAATGAATAAGTAAGTAAATATTTAAAAAAGAAAGAAAAAAAGTGGGCTGAACCACGGCTCAAACCTCTGTGTCCATAGCCATGAATTGCACCCCTCATCACATCACACCAGCTCATCTCTAGCAGGCTGGGGTTCAGTGAAGACAGACTGCCATGGAATTAATGGAAGAGGAAGGCTTTTGTTGACCCCACACCTGCAGGGGCTGGAGAAGTAGATGGTAGTGAAGGGGTCTGAAGGGACCCCAGTTGCTATGAGCGTGTACCCATCTTCTATGGATGACCACCAGGTGGCAGCATTGTCATGACAGGAAGCAGCCTGCGTGCGGGCTCTGGAGTTCTGTCTGATTCTGCAGCTCACGGCCATTTTCCGGACACCAGTTTCTCCTCTTTTCAGAGAGGAGGTTGGAGTTGTGTAATATCCAAAGAGCCCTTTCAGCTCAGCTGTAGAAGCAGCAAGAAGGGTTTGGAGAGATGCTTCAGGGGTTAGGAGCACTTGCTGTTCTTGAGAGGACTGGTTCTGTGCCTAGCATCCATGTGGCAATTCACAACTGTCCTTAACAGTTCTGACATCCACAGTCACCAGGGACGCCATGTGGTGCACACACAGATAAAACACTCATACACATAATATAAAAATGAAATGTTGCCTGGTGGTGGTCGCATACGTCTCCCCCCCCCACACACACACACACTCTCTGCTTCATTATCTTCTGGGCAGCTGCTAAGATTTATAGGTTGTGGCACACGTCTTTACTCCCGGCGTTTGGGAGGCAGAGGCAGGTGGAGCTCTGTGAGTTCGAGGCCAGCCTGGTTTACAGAATGAGTTCCAGGACAGCCAGGGCTACACAGAGAAACCCTGTTTAGAAAACAAACAAACAAACAAACAAAAAATGTATATACATATATATACACAAAACAAAACAATATATATACATATAAAATATATGTAATGTATAATTATTTATTTTAAGGGGGGCTGGAGAGATGATGGTTCAGTGGTCAAGAGCACTTGTTCTTGCAGAAGACCTGGGTTTGGTTCCCAGCACCCACATGGTGGCTCACAGTCATTTGGAATCCAACCCCATCTCCTGACCTCTGAGGGCATCGGGCACACATGTGGCGCACAGACATACATGCAGGCAAGACATTCATACTCATACAATAAAATAAATAAATCTTTTTAAAAATTTAAGAGAGAGCTATAAGACACAGATGAAGTCAGTGGAATTCAAGTCTTTCTTCTCTTGGACTGAAAAAAACAGCAAACCCCACTAGAATGAGTACCAAAAGAAACATAACGCACTTTTGGGTAGCAAGATGGCTTGGTGGATAAAAGCTCTTGCCTCACATCTGACAATCTGGGTGTGATCTCCAGAACCCGCAGCAGAAGGAAAGAACTGACTCCCAAGAGTTACCAGCTGACCTCTCCACACACGCACAGGGCACATGCGAGCCTTGCACTCATACGCATGCAATAAAATAAAAAATAAAAACACTCAAAACTGCAAATATGAAAGTAAAAAAGTATGTGCCTGTAATCCCGGCTCAGTAAACAGAGGCTGGGGGACAGAAGTCGAGGCTAATCCCAGCTGCACAGTACACCCAAGGATCGACCCTGTCTTACAAAGGCCAAGGGCTGCAGCGGTAGCTCAGCGGCCGAGGGTGTTTCCCACCATGTCCACAACCCGAGTTCAAACCCTGGGAACCACATGGTGGAAAGAAAGAACCAACGCCCACAAGTTGTCCCCTGGCTTCCACAAGTTACTGTGGCATCCACACACCTACATACACAACAAATAAATATGTTATAAAACAAACTTAAATCCTAAACAAAACACAAAAGTGACATTAATTTTAAATATATATTTTATGCCAACATACAAGTAATATGATTTATTGTTTTGTTTAAAATTGTGTGTTTTTGAGATGGGGCTCTCTCTATTATAGTCCCGGCTGTCCTAGAACTTTCTATGTAGAACAGACTGGACTCAAACTCAAAGCTACCTTCCTGCCCCCGCCTCCTAAGTGCTGGGATTAAATGCGTGCGCCACCACCGCCCAGCTGGGTTTTAAATGTTTCACTTCATTTTATTTATTATCTTTCTAGCAGTGTCTTGCCCTGACAGTAGGTGCTTAGGATATGCAGTCAGCCGGGCCCGCTGGCAGGGATTCCAAGCTGGGACTGCAGGAGCCGGGAACAGACAGGCGGGCTTGTGGGGGCAGGAAGGAGGCCTTGACGCTAACCTTCTCCTCCTCATCTAGCTGGCAAAGTTGAGCTTGCCTGGCAGAGAACCAGAGACTCTGTAAGGAAGGAATCATGATCTTAGGGAAATCATGTTTGTGTAATAAATACCAGCTTAAGGGCTGGGGAGACAGCTCACGGTGTGGAAAGTGTTTGCCTTGCAAGCATGAAGACGGTTTTCATGAGAACCCACACGGGGAAGCTGTGCGTTTCGCCTGGGCAGCCACCGTGTTCCTCAGAAGCCGGGCGTCCCCTGCGGTGGGGGCCTCTGTCTCCGTGGAGTATGCAGTGGCGGAGGAGCTCGGGACGTCGAGACCGGGAGGGGAAGGAATGGCCAAATGATGAGAGCCATTTCAAAGACTTGGGGGGGCCTACCTGCTTCATTCTCCCTCCCAAGTATCTCCCCGACTCTAAATGGGTCTCAGAGAGGCCTGGCTGGAGAGATGGCCGGTTGCTGGCTGGTCTTCCGGAGGACGCAGGTACATGGCGGCTCACAACCATCTGTAACTTTGAATTCCTACACTTCCTGTCTTCCACGACAGCCCTCCCCCAGACCTCTCCATCTCCACCTGAATCCAGCACTAATCTCTAAACCCTGGCTCCCTCTCTAGGCCTCCTGGGACCTAAATGTCACCATACATCTACTCCAACAGGAGGTGGACCCAGTCAGTACCTTCCCGACCAGTACCTCCTCTAGCTAGTATTGTTTTTGAAATAATCTGGCAGGGACTCAAGGCTCTCCCTTCCAACACCTCTCCCTCCTTCCCCTTGGGTGGCCTGCTGCACTCAGACACACGGAACTTCTTTCTGTTCCTCAAATATGACAAGGACATCATACTTTTATAAACAACATCGCCTTCTCCATTACCCAAGCAAGAAAACTCAGTGGGGCGTAGATCCCACTTTCTATCTGCTGTCAGACAAGGTGGCACCCACTTGACCTGGCCCCCTGCCTCCCCACGTCCTTACCCCATCCGAGCCTTTCACCATCAAGGCCCTCCAAGGAGCTTCCTAGCTTCGGCATGCCGCAGACTGACTTCTGATCTCCAGGTCCATTTCCAGCCCCTGGAACCTGGGCCAGAGCCAGTACCCGATCCCTGCACAGCCCCAACTGTCACCCCACCAGGACTCCTGTAACTCCAAGGGCCTCTGGGGGCCCCTGGCCCTGCTTCTGCTCCATTTCAGTGCTGGGAGAGAATTGCTGCTTCACCAGTATTGAAGGAGGAATGAATCCCAGAGGAGGGATTCAGGAATTTGTCCAGAGGATTATACCCTCTTCCTACCTGCCAGATGGCACCTCCCACCGGAAAAAAAGTTGGGGAGCCCCAGGTTGTCAATTGCTTGTGGAGAATATAGCTCTGAGAAACTCCTAACTGTGGCCTGGACTCAGCAGCCCCCTCGGCTGGATGGGAATGAACAACTTTTGCAGCAGGACCTCAATCGCCATTCAGGAGTCTAAGGGCCCAGACTAGGGGAAGGCAGGCATCTCAGGAAGTCACTCCAGCTATCTCACGAGTGACAGACTCCAGGAAGGTCCAGAGAAGAAGACGACAGTCCCCTCTTTCTCTGTTGAACAGTGCCAAATAGTATGTCAGGTCCCACAGTCAGATTGAACAAATTTCCTGGAAAAAAAATTATGCTGGATGGTGGTGGCACACACCTTTAATCCCAGCACTCAGGAGGCAGAACCAGGAGGATCTCTGTGAGTTCGAAGCCAACCTGGTCTACAGAGCGAGATCCAGGACAGGCACCAAAACTACACAGAGAAACCCTGTCTCGAAACCAAACAAAACCAAACCAAACCAAACAAAACAAAACAAAAAAAATTATATCACTGAGCAGACTAAGACTTAGGGCATGCTTTCTCCAACTCAGTGAGACAGGTCTGACCATGCCCATCTTACAAGTGGGGAAACCAAGGCACGGAGGGGGTGACTAACCTGTTCCAAATCCCACACGGGTAAGTGGTAGAGTTGAGGCTGTTTCTTGCCAAAACAAAAACTGATAGTCACTGAGAATTTCTGAGAGGATTAAAATGGGAAGAGTCCCATCTCACATCTCAATATAACAATGATGTGGGTGTGGTAACACACCTTAAATTCCAGGCAGATTTCCACGAGTCTAAGGCCAGTCTGGTCCACATAGCGCTCCAGGCCAGCCAGAGCTACGTAGGAAGACCTCGCTAATAAATTTAAATTGCTATTTAGCTGAGGATGGTTTTGAACTTCTGATCCTCCGACCTCTACCCTTGGAATGCTGGGATTTCAGGCATGTGCCAGCATGTTGGTCTTATGGAGTGCTGGGGTCAAACGTTGCAGAGCTTCATGCACATTAGATCTGTACTTTGCTAGCTGAGCTCCATTCCCAGGCCCTCACATTCCACCTTTTCCTCTGCTTCCTTGTCTCCAGAAAGAGCCTTTCCCTGGTCAGTTGGAATGGCGCCATAACTGTCTACAGAGGCAGGCAAATTATTCTGCTGGGGTATGGCGTTGTTCTGTATGTGGCTGGTCCTGCGTCCTTTGGATAAGTCCCAGGAGCTTGAGCATTTGGGGGTTTGTGGCGGAAATAGATGCCGTGGAGTCACGTACTTTTTCTCTTTTCCAGCCCATTCTGACTGACTCAGGCACTCTGTCAGGGCTCCTGTGTTCTTTCCACCCGACACACTGTGGGGGGGCCAGTTCCTGCTCCATGGATCTCGCTGTGTGAGAGGAGGCAGTTCCCCTTTCCTTGTGCGTCAGACTCTTTCCTACAACGGTGGAGAACTGGATTCTACCTTACCCAAATCTTCCTGCTCCTGGGAACTCCGTGCCGGCAGGAGCCGCGAAGCAGGGGCCTCTCCCTGGGCAGTGAGTTTGTATGACACCCGGTGGGACCGTGACCTCTCATCCTGCTAGGAGTCTTGAGCGGGACTATTGTCCAGTCCACCCTGGGTGTTGGGACCCATCCTCCTGACTGGAGTCAAGGAAAGGATGACCTTGCGGTCAAAGTTTACCTCACAGGGAGAAGGGTTTGTGCTCCATTTTATCAGGATCAGCTCAGAATCAGCCCACTTCGAAATATTTTTTCTTTATTTTAAATTTAGTTTTACTTTGTGTCAAAGTTACAAATTCAGCTAGTTTAAAGAATCAAGTATTTCCACAAGGCTAAGGTTTTCTGTGAAAAATAGAAAACCTTAGGGCTCCCTCACCGTCCTTTTCATAACACAGCCTTTCGGCACCTCCCTTTGGTTCTTTACTTCTGTATCTCTGAAAACTCTCTGGTACTGTTCTCTCCTGAATTTTGCACTTTAGACATTTTCTGCATAGCTCCCTTTTGTTGTTGTTTTGTTTTTGGGGGGTTTTTTGTTTTGTTTTTGTTTTGCTTTTGGTTTTGAGACAGGGTTTCTCTGTGTAGCTTTGGAGCCTGTCCTGGAACTCACTCCGTAGCCCAGGCTGGCCTCGAACTCACAGAGATCCGCCTGCCTCTGCCTCCCGAGTGCTGGGATTAAAGGCGTGCGCCACCACCGCCCAGCCCACTGTGGAAATATTATGGTGGTTTCTCAGAAAATTGGGAATCAATCTACCTCAAGACCCAGCCATACCACTCTTGAGCATATACCCAAGGAATGCTCAATCATACCACAAAGATGCATGCTCAACTATGTTCAGAGCAGCATTATTCATAATAGCCAGAACCTGGAAACAACCTAGATGCCCCTCAACTGAAGAATGGATAAGGAAAATGTGGCACATATACACAATGGAGTACTACTCAGCAGAGAAAACCAATGACATCATGAAATTTGCAGGCAAATGGGTGAAACAAGAAATTATCATCCTGAGTGAGGTAACCCAGACTCAGAAAGACAAACATGGCATGTACTCACTCATAAGTGGATACTAGATATAAAGCAAAGGACAATCAGACTGCAACCCACAGATCCAGGGAGGCTACCTAGCAGAGTGGACCCTAGAATGACTGTGGCTTATAATAAGTTTTGGTTTTACACAATCACTGTGCAAGCTTTGGTGAAACATTTCACTATTAGGTTAAGAATTTGTACCATATCAAGCTGGTGAAAGAAAATGCTGTCTGTATTTTCAGGAGGGGAGGCTAAAATCTTTAGATTATGGATTAGCCGATAGAAAAATGTCTGCCATAAATCAAACAGTGAAGGGGAAGATGAATAGGAATCTCACTTACACAACTTAAGTAAAACATAGCTCTCTGAACAGATGAAGATAGGTCTCTTCTGTATCCCAGAATCTAATCAATATTTATATGTATAATTCAGCTATTATTTGGCTTAAAAGGGATTATTGGGAAATGTTATCATTTTTACTATTTTCTACAGAGAAAATATTTTACTGTTTAAATAACCCTGGACTTTTAAATTATAACTTGTTTTTGTGTTCAAAAATTTTTTTTGATAAGGGACAGGTTCAAAGTTCAGGGGCCACAAGGTCTATGGGTGGTTTGATTTATGTTGGACTTGTATCCCAATAAAAGCACCAGAAGTTGAAAATATGCAAGCTGCAATTTTACCGGGGAGCAAATAAAATCAAAGATTATGCTACAAAAAAAAAAAAGAAAGAAAGAAAGAAAGAAAAAGAAAAAAAAATGTCACCAGTGCAGTTGAAACTGACACATCAAAAATTAATTATTTTATTTGATGTATGTGAGTGTTTTGTGGGCATGTATGAATGTGTGCCATGTGTATGCAGTGCACGTGGAGGTCAGAGAAGAGCATTGGACCTCCTGGAACTAAAGTTACAGCCTGTGGGGCAAGGCCACGTGGCCGCTGAAAATTGAACAGGTCCTCTGGAAGAGCAGCCGGTGCTTTCAACGGCTGAGCCATCTCTCCAGACCCCACTCCTAATTTTCAGTCAACTGTTCTTTCTTACTTTTTGAAGTTAAAACATGGTTACATCACTTTGCCTCTTCCCTTTCCTTCTGCCGACCCTTCTCATGTGTCCTCCCTCTTCCCTTGCTCTCCCTCCAATTCACGGTCTCTATTTCTTCAGCTGTATGTATTATGTGATATGTAAATTATATATATGTATGTCTTAAATATATAAACACAATCTGCTCTGTCTATATAATGTTACTGTATGTATATGATGTAGGGCTAACTACCTGGTATTGGATAAGCGACCGGGGAGCTCTTTCCTGGGGAAGACTCTTCCTTATTTGCCTGTAATTCTTTGTTAACCCTTCCTTTTCTGAGCCAGAGTCTCACTATGTAGCTCTGGCTAGCCTGGAATTCACTTTGAAGACCAGCCTGGCCTTGAACTCACAGAGATATCAGGCCTTCCCTACTATATGCTGAGTGGTGGGTTGAGAAGTGAGCGACTAAACCAGTCTCTCTTTGCTTCTTTTTTTGTTTGTTTGTTTGAGAAAAGGTTTCTCTGTGTAGTCCTGGCTGTCCTGGAGCTCACTCTGTAGCCCAGGCTGGCCCTGAACTCGCAGAGACCCACCTGCCTCTGCCTCCTGAGTGCTGGCATTAAAGGCGTGCGCCGCCGCCGCCGCCGCCGCCGCCGCCGCCGCCGCCACCACCACCGCTTGGCTATCTCTCCCTGCTTCTTGACAGCAGATGCAAAGTCACCAGCTGCTTCATACTCCTGTAATAGTGCCTTCCCACGGCCGTGATGGACACGAAACTGTGAGCCTAGGTAGACTCTTCTTTCCGCTGTCAGTTACTCTTCTCATTGATGTGACAGGACACCGGACAGAGTCCAGTGAGGAAGGAGGCACTGATTTTTGGGTCCCGATTTGCTGGTCAGTCATCCTTCATGGTGGCGTCATGGTGCCAGGAGGCTGAGGTACTTGTTGGTCACACTATATCCACAGTAGGGAAGTGCAGAGTCATGCACACCACCACTTAGCTCCCTTCTCCTTTTTATTCTGTCTGGGACCCCAGCCCATGGAAAGGTGTCATCTGCATTTAGGGTGAATCATCTCCCTTCGATTCATCTAATCTGGAAATTCCTGCACAGACCTGCCTGGACATTTGTTTCCATGGTGATTCTAAGTGCCATCAAGTTGACAAAATTAATCATTAACACTTTCTTCCTTCCTTCCTTCCTTCCTTT